AAAGAATTATGAAATAAGGTTAACAACACACATTCCCGGAAATTTCTAGAAAATATGCCAACAGTTTCCAAAGGTTTTATAATACTTTCTGAGTTCGCCTAGCCTGATTTTTCGGTCTTGTCAATTGCCAATTGTCTATCTTGAGATATGATATTCGGACAAATTCTTGTTAGCTTTCAGCTTTATGCCGCCCTACTAATAAATTCTTAGAACTTAAAAATATTGAATTTTTGTGAAAAAGGCGGCAGAGCAATTTCAACAAAAAACCGTTTTTTTTTTTTTAATAGCGATCGCTCCTTTGCAGGCAATGGCAAATCTCCGTGTGTATTTCTGCCATGAAAATGACTTCACAATATAACCATTTGCTATTTGACAAAGCCATGGTCCACACCACAAATCGGAGGAGAAGTTCGGCCAAGCATAAGCAAATGGGCTAGCGCCAAATACTATTATTTTTATTAAATACAATCTATAGCTCTATGGGCTCACTCCACAATAAATAAATTTTTTTCCTCCATGCCTTACAAATTTTCCATCACCTTTTGTGCAATATGTGCATTGTCAGTAGACGTGTAAACATTTTTGACCTATTTTCCAATGCAAAAAAAAACCAAAAACATCGTTATGACCAACCAATTTTGCACGCAATTTTGGCATCGAACTGAAGGTCGTTTATTATAAAAAATATTGCAGACATACATAAATTTATCAAAACATACTTGTACATATGTAAATACTTATTGTACTATTTATTTTTTTTTTCAAGATAATTGCTTACGATTGCCGGGTGCAGCAAATTTTGGTTGCTAGCCAATATAAATAACGCAACAATCAGGTACCTAACCCAAATGCAAATACATACATACATACATACATATGTATTTATTTATGTACTCGTATTGTTATGGTTAATGCAAGCGTTCATTGAGTAAAGTTTAATAGATTTTTCTTTAATCTTTGTTATTGAATAGATTAAAGCTGTGTGCGTTTAATGAAAGGGAAACGAATTGCAGGCAATATTAAATTTGAAAATCATAGCATTTATCTGAATTACTAAGTATACAGAGTTTTTAGATAAAAAATGTTTCTTAAATTAATGCAAATTCGTTTTCAGTATAAATTTTATATTTTTAAGTGATTTATATTGCAATAGATAAACACCAAATTTGGCTGGAAGATAAGTAAGTCCATATGTACATATATACATATATGTATCCTTGGTTTTTTGGTAGAACGTTTGATGGTAGAATTGATAATTATCATTGATATTAACTATTATATAATAGTAAAGCACCAAAATAAGGTTATATGACAGCTCTGTTCTATAGATTAATTTGTATCATTATGTTTGTTAAATTTTTTAGCTAGTATGTATTTAATTTTATTCAAGGCGAAAACCTAACTAAAAATTTTAAAGTCGTTTTTCTCGTATGTTTGCTTTTCTGAGCCAGCATGTTCTTTTAGCAAACGAGCGATGTAATCTGTGGAAATTTTTTGGTGCACCTTATCGAAAACAACGAATTTTAATATAATACACTTTTGTAATGTATTAATTTCTATTATAAAACGTTTCGCTTTTCAACTAAATATTAATAATAACCAAAAGCATTGACCGAAAATAGATAATCGCAAAATCGTAATATTTTGTTTTATTTTTTTCTGTAAAATTTAATCGTTATTCTCTGCAATATGATCAAAAAATAAAAAGTAAAAGTAAAGATAAAAAATTTACAAAAAAAAAAAAAAAATCAAAAAATACCAATAATTCTTGATCGAAACACTAGAAATCATAAGATAACGGTTAAATTTGATTGGAAAAATAGAAGTATGATTTTAACGGTTAAATAATATTTTTATTTTATTTCTTATTTTAAAGATCATATCTAACGCTTATATCTTTTTTCGGACAAAAAACTGCACATTACTGCCAAAAACTACCGTTTCGCAGTATATCGATTTAGAAATAACAGCATTTTTGGCAGTAAAGTATTTTTTGAAACAGTTTTCCAATAAAATAACGGCATTCCTGGCAGCTAAAACTTCTACCGCTTTTTACATTTTTCCTAATAAACCTAATCGTGGTACAAAGCTCAATAACAATATTAAAATAAAATGTTAATAAGCCACAATAAAATTGGTGAATTTCTCACTTTGTACAAAAATGAGAAAAATTCGAAAAAGGTGCACAGCAACAATATTCTAGTTTGAAAAGTTACTAGTTATGTCCGACAATTTGTTAAGTTTGAAAGAAAACAATAACACCGTCGAAAAAAACGAAAAAAAAAAAACAAAAAAATCAACGCGAGTTCCTGCCTATTGAAACTTGCACCTTATTACTAAAATTTAATGGGAATTTCTCAAAAAATTATGAATATAAAGTTTGTTGTTTGACAACAATTTTTCTACAAAGCTTGAAATGTCGATTCATATGGTGTTAGGTACTATACATATAATTAACTAGACTTTAATAAAGCATTAATAAAAATTAAACAAGCGAAAGAAAAAAGTCAAAACTGGGTAAGATGTCGTATGTATGTATGCACATATATGGGCAAATCTAAAAACAGGTAACCTTTGTATTATTTAGCTTTATTTTCATTGCTGTAAACTATATCAAGCTAGTTGATTTCGGATATAATTCATAGACGTATACTTGAAGCCTCAATAAAAATTTGATAGATGTTTTCATTAAAAAAAATATATATATTAAAAACAAGTCAATCTTTTGTGTAATTTTTAAGAGGTGAAAAATTAATTATGTCATCACTTTCGAAGCACACCATATACTGGTTTGAAATTTTATGGGCAATTAGTACTTATGTGTACACTTAATTTTTAGTAGGTAACGAAAGTGTCCCCTAAAAAATAACTAATTGACAAGTAACTCAAAGTGTGTAACTCTACTTTTCACAATTTTCAAAATTTGCGATTTATCGCGTATAGTTTTTGAAGCATTTCATTTTAAAAACTTTTTAAGTATTTACGTGTTGTATTCTACAAACAATTAAGAACAATTTGATACCTTAGGAAGAGGTGTGCTTTCACAATAAACCAACTTGTAAAGATAAAATATTCTGCTATCTTGAGCGCAATTTTTATTCCAAAAACATCTTAATTGAAGGCATATTTTGAAAATATGTCGAAATGATCTAAATCCTTTTGTACCTACTAGTCCTTACAACGTTACATATACCAGTAAAATGCTTCAAACAAATTTTCTCTAGAAGTGTGTAAAAACCCAGATTCGTCGATCCCATACAATTGATTGTTCAGAGAACTTTTCCAATTAAGCAGGTAAAAATGTAGTATATGTTCACTTTAACATATGCACGCGTACAATTTATTATACAGATATAAAGTTAGAGTTATAGTGCAAAAACACATACCAGAGTAATCAGTTGTATTGGAGCTATATGTTAAAGTGAACTTATTTCGATAATTTTAATAAACAATTAGGGTAATATTAAAAACCGTTATGTTCAAAACTGAGGGAGTTATATATAATCAAATTTCCAAGTACCGTTATCTCGAAAACTGGAGCCAATCTGGTAAAACGGGGGATGCCACTGAATTTACAACGTCCCAATTAAGTGAGTTCAACTTTAAAAATCTCTGCTCAAAATTCACAACTTGCATAGCGTAATTTGAACCCAGCTTATTCTTTTGTTTTCTATTTCAGGTTGACCCTAGAGACATAACAACTAAATTCTTTTGGGAGAGCAAAATACCGACCAAATAATTACAAGAGATTACGAATAGAATCATATATATAAAACATAGGTGTGCCCACAAATTAAAAAATTAAACTTTTTCTTTTGAAAGTGTACCTGTTTTTGTAGATTTGCTTATATACTTTATCTTCTATGAATGAATTGTTACTTTTCACGAATATTATACTACGACTAAATGCTATTTGGGTAATATATGAAAAAACATTTTACAAATAATTAAAACTTTACTTAAAAAACCGTAATAATACATAATATTTAATATAAAAAAATTTCTCTAAGCAAACACTAAAAAAAAATAATGCATTACATTTTACGATTTTCTTTTGAAATAAAATGTCTTTCACATCTTTTTTTTTAACAAGAAAAAGTGCGGAACGTTGAAAAATTTGGCAGGAATTCAATAACACATATTCAAAGTATTCCGCTTTTTAAGACGCTAAACTTAAAATTGCACTTTTTATATTAACTTGGGGCCTTAGCACTTTGCAATAATTGAAACCAGTTTTTTAATAGTTTAATTTGCAAATAAAAATACAAAGTACATTGGTTTTCAGAATTCATCATCCAAGAGCGACGCCATCTATTCAGTCATTTTGAGTCAGCTAATTACAGGCACTAACAAAAAATATTTATTAAATACCTTCAAATAAGTGCAAAATTAGACAAAACACAACTTATAACCAATGTAGGCTGATGCCTAACCGACTGAGAGATTGACAGATAAGCAGCAGATATTTTAGAGTCTGCTTAGATAGCTGACTATGTGGGCGGGCAGTTCAGGTCATAGACAAGCATCAACACTACCACCAACACTAACTTAAGCAAGCGTAGTGTATCAACTGCTGCAACGTATATGTATGTATGCATGTATGTTGCAACATCAACAGGGAGGGCACAACAGCAGCCATGAAGTGCAGACAATAACCGAAAATTAGTAAAAATGCTCTTGGGTCTGTCATGATTCACAAAATCAACGGCAACAATTGACTTTGCAACAACCTCAGACACAATCAAAGTCGCAACCGCAGACGTAATCGCGCAATTGTAAAATGTTGCCACTATGTAAGCCAACAGCAGCCGCAGCGGTTTTGACACTGTGAGCATTGTAGAGACTCTTGGCTATGTGCTCCTGCAGCAGACAAATTACAAAGGAGCCATTGTTTATGAGTATTTGTTCTGGCGTTGCTTTATTCATTTGTTTTTGTTTTTTCATTTTTTATTGCCTGCTAGCCTACAAGTTTGTTAACTGAATAAATAATTCACACTTACTGCATTGTTATTTGTGATTTATTCCAACTGTTTAGCGCTAACAAAGGCGAGTGAGTATCCAAACAAACGCAAACCAAAGTATTGGCCTTTTCCGTTCCCTGCAGCAAAGAAGTGTCTTAAAAGAACCGGAACACGTACACTTTGTTTTTAAAAAGCACGTTCTACAATTGTTTACTTCTTTTTTTTTAGTTAAACTTGCTTCTTTTGAAGTTATTTGCAACAATTTTTCACTGCGAAAATTCACAAATTCTCACTTTTGCTTATTGCTTTAGTTGCACTTGAGTTCACAATGATGGCTTCGTTTGTTGCAGCCCATTAAACCGTTAATACTTTATCTGTTAACGACCGTTAGTTCAGCACTTTTGTTTTCAACGCGTGAGCTCAAATACATAAATGACTTACTTTCTTTGAAAAATTTATATTTTATACCGTAAATTTGCAGAGCGTATTGGCTTGGCGCTTTAAACAAGCTTTGGCGCTTGCGCTCTGGCACTCAATGTGGCGAGTGGAATATTTCGAATACACGTATTTTCAATGGAGTGGCATTTAATACACGTTGTTGTTGGCTAACTGTTTTCTTCGAGTTGCTCACTGATTGCCTCTCTAAGCGCAACTATTTATTTCGTTGTCTTTAGTACTGAAATTTAAAAAGCAGATATACGGCGAGCGTTCACGCTCTTGATTTTGATTTGAGTGGTTCTCATTTGGGTACTCTTTTAAGTGAGATTATTTGAGATTTCTTATTATTATTATTATTATTTTTTATATTTTTTTTTTGGTTTAAAACGGCTGTTAGTTACTTATGAAATATATGTGAAAAAATTAAACTAATAACTTTAATCATGAAATTAATATATCACTTTATGTTTCCTACTTCCGATCATAATGTAGTGGTGTTATGGTTTTAATTTTTGTAAAGCCGATATTCACGCTTAAGCGGGAAATAAATTCTAAACTAATTTTGGACTGCTGTCAAAATAAACCTTGAAATGTGTTGTAATTTGTAAGAATAAGAACTGTATGTACTAAAGCTCTAAGCGTCAAGTGAGTGTTCGTCTTCGGAAGACAAAATCAATGATTCGAGTGTATGTATTTCTATCATAGGAAAAATTTTTATTATAACAGTAGTTTCAGTTACCGGCTTTCTAGGGTTTTCAAAATACTGTTTTAATGGCTCGCTAATATTCAGTACGGAATTCTTAAGAAATTAAAGCGTAGTTACAATTTTCTAAAGTTTTTTTTTTTTTTTTTGTGGAAAGAGAGCACAAAGCAACCCATGTTTGCGACGGAAATATACGCCCGTGATATATCATCAGATATCAAAATTCCTTGGACACCACTATTCACACAAACAAAATAATAGTAACGTTGACTGTTTCCGTAGGAGCTGGATACTAAGCTTAAGCAAGAGCGTTTTTTTCTCGTTTTGAAACAGTTTCGATGATTTCCTTAATTAGACATACTAGTGTTCGGCCAGCGGTTGAAATTTAACCACTAAAGTTAAGATTAAATGATGTGAGTTAGGGTGAGGTGAATTAAGGGTGAGTTGAGGTGAACTACGAGAAGTTGATGTGAGGCGATTTGAAATGTGGCGTGGTGAGCTGAGGTGAACTTCGTTGAACAATATAACACAACATGGCATAACATAACATAGCATAACCAAACAAAGCATATTAAAAGTATCGTAATATAACATAACAAAACATACGATAACATAACATAACGTAACAAACGTAACGAACATAACATAGCATTACATAACATAAAATATCATTACATAATATAATATAACATTACATAACGTTATACAAAGTACAATAACATAACATAACATACCAAACCATAACATAACACAACATAGCATAACACATCATGCCATAACATAACATAATATAGCATAACATAGCACCTTAACACAATATCTTAACATAACATATCTCATTCTTCAGTTTTATCTTTGTCTTTATTTTATGACTTACTCTATCTCTATCGTTTTTTATCTATATGTTTATCTTTATATTTATCCTTTCGTTTTCATATCTATATTTTCCTTTACCATTATATTGATTCATATGCGCTCCATAATTGTCATTACATTAAGTATTTAAATTTAACTCTTTGTCTCTATCTTTAAGTTTCTTTAATTTTATTTTAATCTTTGCCTTTATCCTTTTCATCCTCTAAATATTCAACTTTACCTTACTCCTTAAATTAATTAATCAATTTATTTAATTCACTGTCACTATTAAAACATACATTTAGGGGCATTTTTTCCCTAACCAAGTACATGTATGGCATTTGTATTAGTGTCAGTTTTGAATATATATTTTCGCTTTATATTAAACTTATTTGAAGTTTTAGTAACTCTCTGCACATAAGCATCAAAATACCTTTCTAACGATACATAATTGTTTATACCTTAGAAGTATAGTTCAGCCGTAAAAGGGGAGTAAAGAAATTATGTTTGCCTATTTACATCGGCGTAGCCAGAATGAAATTTAGGGGGGGCTCGACCCTATTAATCTGGCATTTCAGGGTACTATTTTATATATATATATAAGGAAAATTTGAAAGTTAGGGGGGGGGGGGCTCGAGCACCCCCCTGCCCCTACCTGGCTACGCCCATGCCTATTTATATATAAGACGTAGTTGGACCAAAATTGCTAAAAATCATTAAGGCGCTTTCTGATATACGCTTATATAGTCATAAGTGTACGATACCATGCCCATTTTCCAGCGTCCTTAGTTATCTAAATAACGGCTTCGTATGTAATTCGGAAACTTACCGTTGTGTGAACAGTGCAAGTAATTTTAGTCTGATTTCAAAAATGTTTAGCATTTTGTTTTTTGTACCAAGGGCAATAACTGTACCGAGTTTGGTAGAATTTAATAAATAGACTAGCGAGATACACGTATGTAGTCATAAGTGAGCGTTGCCATTTTCCAAAAATTTTTAATTAGCCAATATATCGCCAAGAGTTTGTTGGAAACATCGATCTTGAGTGTAGAAGCTTCGTTAGTTACTTATTATACAGTTCGAGCCTGAAGGTATTATGTTATTGTTACTCTATCATTCTTTATTTGTGTGGTTTCTGAGAGTGATCCCGCATGGCTCGCTTAAGAGTTTTGGATGGCTTATCGACTACTCGCCCTCCTATGAGATTCCTTGTTAAAGGAAGTATGCAAAATCACACGCTTATACACAGAAGAATATTGAGCAATGGGGCATACTATATATTTGTCAACTTGCAATGGAGAACTTGCCGAGCAATCAAACGCTGCTGCTATGTTCTACTAGGCGATTCAACCAATTTTTTCCATTGATAAGAGCACACACCATACAACAGGTATTACGATCTTTCAATAATTGTGCATGATTTCATAATATCGATTTTTTTATTTACATCATTATATGCTTCATCTGAACCGATTCAAATATTTTTAAGTTGATAATCTTCCAAGTGAGATTACTTTTTTTTTTTAATTTAATACAGCTAATTTCATGCTAATCGCTGATATGCTAACTACATTCAATAAACACAGAAGTCAACCAGCTACAACGCTTGCGCGAAGTAATCAAAAGACTTAAGCAACGAACTTGCAGTGAGCGATTTGAGCTCCTGAAAGTACATCACCACATATGTACGTGTATGTATTTAAAATTAAAATAACATAATTTGAGTTCATCTGCTGGCGACTAGTAGATATTTAAATTTTTTAATCACAATAATTTCTGTAATATATTTTTGCATTATATATGTATGTATGTAGTATGTATATGTAGTATGTTTGTATATATGCGGGTGGCGTTAAAATACAGGTTTTGCGCAAAAAAAATAACAAATATGATGTCTGATTGCTTGCATCGCATTTAAGCATCTTCATGTATACATGTACATACATATGTAGCTATGTACGCATATTTTTCAGATTTTGCATGTTGATTTTCTCAGCCTTCAGTGGTTTGCCTTTATAAATTTGTATTCGTCTTTTCAACTTTGGGGTTTTTTTTGCAATGAACATTTATTTTATTACCTACTACTGTTGCGTAGTTGTTGTTATGTAGCGTATTTATTACTGCACAAGGTGTATCATAATAGTTGCATATACATATATACTAAATAGATACATATGAATGTGTGTTTAAACATACATACAGTATTGTCCAATACAATAGCACCCCCATTTCAAAGTGATATTGTTTGAAACTCAAGTTTATTTATTTATTTTTAAGAATTTTGAATTAAAATATAGTTCATTCTCTAATAATACCTATATAAACCCAAGTTTAAAACTTTGTAGAAAACTACAAAAATAATCGAACAGATTTTCACACAAATTTTAAACTTTTTTCTCAGAAGTGTTAGAATTTTTTTTTGTACACATTTTTATAGTCCATTCAATTTTAGTCTAAGAATGTGCAAGTTTCAAGTGGCTAAAATTACCGTTGATTTTTTAGAATTTTTTCGGCCGAAGGTGTTGCGGGTTTTTTCCATATAAAAATAGATTGCTTTTATTCGTTATATGGAAACAAATGCGACAAAAACAATTCTCAAAAATTAACCGTAATTTTTAGCCACTTGAATATTACCATACAAAATTTGAATGGGCTATAAAACTGCCTACTCAAAAAAATTCTAGCACTTCTGAAATAAAAGTTTGAAATTTGTGAGAAAATTCGCTGCACTTTGGTTAATATGGGTTTCATTAGACGATGAACTGTATTTTAATTGAAAATTCTTAAAACTGATACTATAGATATGGCCAATACTGTAGCTCTCGTTGTGTGTTTGGTTTAAAAAGCCAGTGAAACCACAATTGCATTGATGTGATGCGATACCCTGCGATATTGCCTGCTGCCTCCAGTTTTTTGTATGCATGTAAATACGCGGCATTTGTGTGGCTCTAGAGGGGCTAATGAATAGTTGTTTTACTATTTTTTTTTTGTTTGCTGTGCAGTTGAGTTCTGCTCCCACAACAGCGTCAAATATTACTATCACTATAAAAAACTAGTAATTGCATGAATATGAGCGATACAACAGCAGGTAGAGAGATTGCTAATTCTAAGCTTTTTCTTAAGATAAACCCAGCATAAGGCGCTTGTTAGTTAGATAAATAAATAAAAAATATTATAAAATTATTTTAATTTTACCACCACTGCCTCTTATCGCATCCTGCAGTCATTGAACTTTCGCGTTTACTTGCAATAATTCTTGTTACGCTTACTATTTACTTGTGCCGTCTACTTTCGCTTTCATTTCACTCAACGGGACTCATTGAGGCGTGCAGTAGCGCACGTTGCAGTTGCAGAGTCGAGCCGGAATTTTGGTGTTACATTTCTACGCCGCGCGAGATGCTGCTGTAGCGACAGGTGTATTTAGCAATAA